TCGGGCTCTGGACCGCTTAAGAAATTAAAAAAGAAAAAGGGAAAAAGAAGTAAAAAGGATGGGGAAAGGAGGAAAAGGCATACGTCATGAATATTCATGCGTTAATGCGGCATGCGTAATGATGAGAAAGTTGTTCACCATTGCCGTGCTTTCCGCGAGGAGATATGCGCCTGGTGTATACGTGCCCACTTCACGCGCGTTCGGCTGAAGTGCCACTATAAACTGATATACGAGCGTCATAGTCATGCTTGCTTGCGGACCGGATATTAAAAAATGCCTTTAACGCGAAATTCATCCTTTCGATATGGCGACAACGCGAATTTCCTTCGTGTGGTGTTTGTTTGACTAGCTGCGTCCCGAGCTAAGGGTTGGTTACGTCAAGAGTAAGTTGATACATTGAGAAAGTGGATTAAAATCGTGCAGACGAAGTGAAAGATTCGATGGTGAGGATCAAGGAACTCAGAAATTCATATATATCATGTACCAAAGACTCAAATCAGTGAAAGCTTACGCGTTACGACGAGGAAAATTTGAAAATTTTTACACGACCAACGATAAATTGATAAGATCCAACAATACAGTCATTAATGATAGAAAAATTCAAGAAATTAGAAACTTCATTGTGAGATGAATATAAATCACGCAGATTCGTGTGAACATTTTCATCGTAAAATCGATGAACGAGCTTCAGATTCCAAGTAGGCGATATTTGTGGAATACAAACGATGGAAAAACGAAATCGTTTCAGAACGACAGATACCATCAATCGTAACCCGTTTCATGGTGGTCTTGCAGATGTTGCTGAAATATTCTTGATTTCTTTTATCCGCTTATCGATGTGAATCGAGGCACAAATCCCAATATTTACCATACCAGCGTTCCACATTGAAAGTTAACCGCCTTCTCGCGCTCGCCAGCACCTTCCTGCCAACTTTCGTTATCCAAATTTCCGCATAAGAATCGACTTATCCCCCAGTCGATATCGGAAAAATCCTTGAAAAATCCGACTTCCCGAGATAAACAGATACTCGATGCGCACAACACGATCCTCACCGCAAGCATCGTTCTCCGGTCGAAACGACTCGCGTTACGGATAGTTATGGTTGATCGAGTCGCATCATACACGAAACGAGACACGGAAAGTGATCGGTTTCCGATCGATTACCCCGTAAACGAAACGGTTGATCAACGACGTTAATTATGGGAATAGGATCAACGATCGATCGCGTTCAATCGCTCGTATTTCGTGAGCTTGCATGTCGCTACGTTGGGTTTGGTACACGGCGGCGATGCGAGTTTGCCGTTGTGACGCTTTGCAATTTGATAGTTTTGGTATAAATGCATGAACATTTGCTCGAGCACAGAGTCTATTAGACATGTTTAATGATGTGATACATACGAGAGTATTACTATTGAAAATATATAGAAGCAATGGAAAGTTATAATGACTAAGAATCATTCGAATGCATCGAGTACCTGAGTCTTGCTCGGATTACTCAAGATACCTTGATTAAGATACTTTAGGACTTAAATTACAAATTTAAATTTCAATAAAAATTTAAGTTTCAATACAAATTGAGAATCTCAAGCATTTTCTTTGACTGGATAAAAACAGGATTGACTTGCTAGATAACGTAACATTATTTCTAATTACGTGCTTGTCGATATCGATCTCCTAAACCAAATTGATTTCAGATACGCATTTCCCGTTAAGCTAAAGTACCGTGAAAAGCCAATTAATTAAATTCGACTAATTAAAATGAATTTGATTTTAAATAGGATTTGAATTTTGGGATTCCAACATTAAAATTTAATATATATTTAATATGTTTCTAATTCAATATAAAACTGTTACATGCTGATTGAGTTTTCGAAAACTAGCTTTCTATAAAACGATGACATTTTCTGGCTCTGTAAATATCTATAAAAGCAACTGCAAACGCAAATACTTATATCAAACTCAGATAACTTGAGTAATCTGAACAAGATTCAACGCGCGAATCGGACGACGCGAATTGAACGACCATTCACGTGACGTTGTTCTTTGTACTTTTTGTTTCAATCTATCTTTCTTTTGCTTTTTCTAACCTGTTCCGCCGCAACGATTACTTGGTTTTGTAGCTGACCCGATGGAACGAAAATGGGCAACGAGCTTCCGCTTCGAGACCACGCCTTTGATTCCTTCCTGCGCATTTCTTCTCGCGCGACATTCGCGTTCGTATGATCAATCTCCAGCGAGCTCTCGGATCCGGAATCCATGGCCAAAATAATTCCAACAACAGAGAGAGCTACTCGAACGTCTCGAAACCGGAAGTAGAATGATACAGATTTCTGATAAAAGACATTCTGTTGTTTTTATGGAATTTTTAGATATGTGAATGGTATGACCGTTTTTGAAATTATTGAACACTAGAATAGGACTGATAAGATAAAACATTGTTATAAAATTGGTATATGAGAATAAATAAACGTACAGGAATATTAGATGAAATTGTATTTTAAGATCGAATGTAAGTGGTTCTTTTCTGATATTTTTTCCACGTTAACCCATTCGTTGACATTTTATTTAAAAATACTGAAAATACGAAAATTTGTTGTCAGTTTTATACGTACATTTTGAATGCATTTTCTTACGTTCTGCAAAAAAAAAGAAACATTTTAAACGTATCGCTTTCTTTTACATTTCCACTCGGCGTAATAATAGCTAGTACGAAAGTGATGGTTTTGCGTTCAAAATTCATGCTGAAATTTCTAAAAAAAATAATTTTGTTCCTTTTTTCTGTGTAACTTCGTTTCAGAATACTTTTTTCCTGCGAATCTAGAATTGAAAGAAACGTTCGAATGGTCCCATTTAAATGCACCGCTCGTGCCTGCGGGTACCAAAATACCAAAACCGTAAAAACACAATTTTTGGGCTAAGCGAGAAGTGGCGATAGTGTGCAGTCGAATTTTTGACCTGATAAAAGTGACAGAGCATGTAAATTCGTTCGCGCATTCGAATAAAACAAACCAGTGGAACTGTCGTTTCCGTTTCGCTAAAACATTCCTCACTTTCCTGTAATTTATGACTCAAATTTCGGAGTAATGTTTCCACGCATTTCGAAATAGTTTCGCCACAATTTTCGCGTATATTTTATCGTTTGTGTTTTCTTGCCACAATTCGACTAATGTTATTAGCGAAGTTCATCGAATCATAAAGTGTAAGTTGTTAGCAATTATTAAATCCTTTTATGACAATGAAAGAAATGAGAACAACATTACAAGTGATATTTTGCAAAATTACTAGTTATTTGACTATCTTGTTTGACGTACAGTCGTAAAAAAATAGTCTATATAATTAAAAAGCGAGATACTTGAATGATGCAGTGGTATTATTCTTTGTCATCGGTATCATTGGCATTATGTATATGAGTTTTTAAATCAACTACAAACCAAATTTCGTACTGCATTTCGAAAGTTAATCTCGTTTAAGATCGTAATCGAAAATTAGGACAGTTACTTGTTTTATTCGGGTATAAATTACAAACCCAACTCATTCTTTATTCGAGAAATGACAGGCTGGAATCGTTATGTGAAAGCACAGTTGAACGATTCGTAGATAACGTTATTTAACGTTATTCAGCAGCAAGGAGAACAAAATGGAAGCCACGCGGTTTCGCGTTTCATCCAATTATCGACTCTCGTCGACATTGCGTGCTTTCTTCTGTTTACGTTACCAGAGATTGCGCCTGATCGTTACTAAATACCTTTACAAAGACTTCCGTCTGCTATGCGCTCTTTGCAGTTACCTTTACCGTGAAATTTGCAACTTGAAAAGTTTCGCGAACTTTTTATTCGATAAAGCAAAAAGAGGAACTATTCGAGAAATTACGATTTACGAACTCATCTGACGAAGTTTAGTTATTTACGTTATAAATTGCTCACAGCTCTCGCAGCTTCGGCTTTACTTTCAGTTTATTAAGTTTCTCGGGTTCTCTTCCGCATAAAGACTTAAGTTTTCTGGACGATACTCAACAACCGTTCTTCCTCGCATGTATTAAAAATTTTGAATCAGTTTCTAACATTGTTGATGGAAGCCGGAAGTCTTCCGTTGGAGCGAAGTAAAAAATTCCTGTTTCTAAAAAAGTTAAAATGAAGTTACGCGAGTTGATGTTACGCGGTCCACGTTTCAGAAAAAGTTTCACAATATATTTTTTGCGTTGCTGACAAGTTTAGAAGAAAAAGAAGCATAGATTGTGTGAAACTTCGCGCGGAAAACCGGAAATCGATCGGCTGTGACGATTTTGGCGACGTCTACCGGCACATTTTCGAGCCAAATTTCTCTTACGCTGCTAATATCAACATTCGATATGGTTTCTTTTATAAGAGAAACAGACACGTATTTTCTTCGTAAAAGACAAACTGCACGAATCCAACATGGGACGATAACTATGCCTTGTAGTTTTGAGAAATAAAGTGTACACACCCACTGCGACTTCAACATATTTTATTTCACTTCACATACGATTACAATCTTTTCAATGGAAATAATTTCGCGTAGAACATCTCTCGAATCTCGTGGAATTTTAATCAACGTATTGCAGCAATTAATTTAGTACGAAACAAAAAGTTCAAAAATCATTTTTACAATAATAAACGATCAATAATACCACATAAATGAAGATTAGAACATTAAAGTTAATGATCTGAAAGACATGATTTTGGATCACTATAAAAGAAATAAAATTAAGTCCTTCTCCACTTGTGCTCGTATGCTTAAATAGGGAGTGTGAAATGAAAAGCCAGAAATCACAGAATCTCAGAGAAATAACAGATAAGGTGGATGTTCTCTGAGAGTCTACAGTTGCCTGGGCTTCTCACGTCCCCTGCTTAAGTACAATAGATATAATATATTTCATGTAATAACGTAAACAAGATGTTTTTGTACAAATATCCCTTATATAAATATGGTGCTTGTCTGACGGCTAGGCACAAATTTCGTGACTTGCGTGTCTCAATCATTTTTTCTTTCGCCTTTTTTTTTTATATTTTTCTATTTTTTCTTTTTTTTTTTTTTTTTGACTAGACACAGCCCCACCGTAAGTATATTTTAGGCTAGCAAAGTCGACTGATCAGTAAACGAAAATAATCACGTAATTACAGAGACGGACGATGGACATACGCACAAGACATCGATTAGGGACGATCATCCAACATTAATATCGTTTCAATTTGCATTCTTTTTTTTCATCTTTTTTATCTGTTATCTTTTCTGAAAAATATGGTCTTCGCGACGTTCGTCATAGGCAATCTAAAGTCCAATGCGGATGAATGTGCTTACAAGGATAAAAACTCGAGTCTCAAGGTACTTTCGATTAGTTCTTTCTTATGCGCTAAATGTTTCGCTGTTTTAATTTCTTAGAATCATCGTCCCGTCCAGAAAAGGTTTAATTGAGAGCAGAAAGGCTCCTTTATCGTTTTATCCCTACAACCTCGACAAAATTCTTTTCTATCTAAAATTGTTTCGTTGGCTATGAGAAAGTTTCCGCGTCTATCGCCGTAGTTCATCGACCAAACATGGACCGTTCGTTTCAAATCGATCAATACCCTCAAACTTCACACGAGATGTGGTCCGAAATCTCGATTAGGAACACCAATAATTTCTCAGAAACGGACGTTCGCTTCACAGCATCCGATATTATCCTCCGAACAAGACGAAGGCTACGGATTTCTTAACCAATACGATACAAATACCCTGAATCCGGAAGCTAAAGTTTAAAGCGATGAATATCGAAAGGTACCAGCTCTTTTCGTCAAATATTTTCCCCCGCGAGATCGATAACTTTGTAATAAGAATATCCTCTTGTAATAATATATTATAATATAATATAATATAATATAATATAATATAATATAATATAATATAATATAATATAATATAATATAATATAATATAATATAATATAATATAATATAATATAATATAATATAATATAATATAATATAATATAATATAATATAATATAATATAATATAATATAATATAATATAATATAATATAATATAATATAATATAATATAATATAATATAATATAATATAATATAATATAATATAATATAATATAATATAATATAATATAATATAATATAATATAATATAATATAATATAATATAATATAATATAATATAATATAATATAATATAATATAATATAATATAATATAATATAATATAATATAATATAATATAATATAATATAATATAATATAATATAATATAATATAATATAATATAATATAATATAATATAATATAATATAATATAATATAATATAATATAATATAATATAATATATTATAATATAATATAATATAGTAATATTAAGGGTAAGGATAAGTAATATAAAGAATATAAAGAAATAAGAATAAGTAAAATATTACGATTAAGTACAATGACAATAGAACAAATCAAATCCTAGTAATAATTTTCTGAGAAGTCCTCTCTGTAGGACCTCCGAACAAAACGTCTTACAAAAACATTTCCGCCTGTCATAGTAAAGAGATATCTTTATTACAAAATTAATTTGTTAAAAGGAGAAGGTACTGATCGAAAAGCAGCTTTCTAGATTCGCATTTCGAGATCCATCTACACGATCATCTGCCGTTGTCTTTCTTATCGAGTGTTATCTGTCGTATTCGTATCCAGGGTTGGTGAACACCGTCGCCTTCAACGTGATGGAGGGCGGTTGTGACAACGAACTGTTCCTAGCTACCCAATTGCTTATAATTTCATTCCTTCTGTGCCTCCATAGTTTATGGAGAATGAGAGAGACTTTGGTGTGGTACGCTGAACAAATTGATCCCCTGGCAAGTGCATCTTTGGGGCATTGACGACACTTGAGCAAATTTCTTCTGTTCTGTTGATTTCGATACCTAGCTTTCATATCTATCAAGGTGATAGCCCTGGATGGACACTTCTTTACAGGACTGGATGTCGTTTCTTCTAGTTTCTTGTCCTGGTTCTCCCCCTCAGAACAAGTTGAGTCCTCGTCATCGAACTCCTGGACCCCTGTTACCTTTCTGGGCTGTCTCTGCTTCCTCGGTCGCCTCTCGTGCGGTTTGCTCTGGATGTTTCTTAGCCAAGGAAACTCATACGGCTCCGTGGCTGACTGTCCCTTGCTCGCTTCGGGAACGGCTCGGTAGCTGTGCGCAAAATCACGATTAAGTAAAGTAGAAGTAGAGTCACGACTGGAACAACCGGTGCACGGTTCGTCGTGTACATGACGGTTGTCGTGTTGCTCGACGTTCGACGAGTATACGGCGTAAAACGAAACGAGGTCGCGTCTCAGTATCTCGGTTTCATGGTGATCGACGATCTGGTTGGCGTCGTGTTGACGATGGCGACGACGATGGTCGTGGTCGCGGCCGTGCTCGTGCCAGCTCGACCGCCTCTCCTCCTCCAAGGTCGGGTACGCCATTGTCGCTGCAGTTGCAGGGGAGTTTACCATCTCGTGGCTGCAACCACCGCGGCACTGTTCCATAAGTTACGTTCGCGTCATTTTTCTACCAACGAACGAGCGCTCGTCGACCGTGCGACGAGAAGGCAAGAAACATTTTTCTTTTCTTTTTTGGTTTTTTTTTTGTTGTTGCTTTGTTTATTTATTTTTTAAAGAAGAAAAGTATAAGAGACAGTGACAACGAGAGAAGAACAGATAACGAAAGTGAAGCACGGGAACGTGCACGACACCGCGTGTCCTGGCGACACCGAAAGCAAACAAACGAAGCGTGCACACGGCGCGAAAGAAAAAAACTAAAAAATGACGCTGCAACGTAACAGAAAATGGAGAGGTAGGAGGGCGGGCGAAATGGTGAAGAGCAGTTTCAGTGGCAGATTGTAATCTTTTTGTTCAAAATCGATCTATAAATTTTACAAACGACTTTTGTTTAGCAGACAATAGTTGTTGAGAGATGGTCTACCCTTTTGAAATTCGTAGGAATTTATGTTGCAGAACGATTCAATCTACCACTGAATAACGTCGACCTGATACAATGGGCGAATATAGAACGTAATATAAAAAAAAAAGCAAGCGCAGGAATGGCACTCGCAACTTACGAGCACACACGACGTCGCTAATGTTCGTTTAGGTATTTATTAGTAAAAGTACTTTAAGGCGTTAAACGACAAACTTTAATTTGCTACAAATTCGATTTCCACTGTCAGAATATGTATTGGGTAGATTGAACGAATTACTTGATATCTAGTTGTCAACTGAGCACTCTGGCACAATTGAATTAATATATTATTAGTGACATTATACAAGTCACAAATTATCTGACTATCCTATTTGATAAAAGATTATAAGACTGTAAAGGAGATCTACAATTTTTAGCTTGGAAATTTGGATTGATTATTGTGCGAGAAGTATCCTGATATCTTTGGTCATGGGTAACTACGGCAATCTATCTTTAATTTGGACCACGTAGTTCAACAAAAAACTCTGTACGAATGACTGGAAAACCGAATCGATAAAGTCCATAATGTAAAAATGTATATTTAATATCAAAATGTACGTATTTTATGTTTTATCAATTTAAAAAAGGTGGTGTATAATTAGGTTTCTGTATACTTCAATTATTCTCGTTATATAAAACATAGAATTCAATGCAAAATTCAATCTTCCCAAAATTAAATAACATAACCCAAACTAAAATAAATTACTATCTATAGCCTAATAATACCGATCTTGCAAATAATAATATAGCGGATAATACCGAAATTACAAATTCCAACAGTGGACATCAAATCTACATTTCTCTCTAAAGATATTAGCTAATAGAAACTGGCGTAAAATCTCGTTGTAAAGATTCATGCTATTCGACATACAGATTCCCGATTAAAAAACATCAAAAACTAGCATGTTTTGTCTGTCGTACGGGACAAACGAGCAAACGAATTCGAATTTACGAGCGGAGTTAGCTTCGCCGATCTCTGTGCGCCAACGAGCGAATCACGGACGGGCAAAAACAAAAACGAATAAAATAGCTTAGGAGCGTGGGAATCAGAAGGTTAGCGAGATGCTTACCCGAGTATCGTTGTCGGTGGTATCACAGTGGTAGCAGGTGCGATGGCTGGAGCTGGAGCTGGAAAAACTGGTGGACCAGGTGGTGGCCGTCCTCCTCCTGCGGGACTGTAAATTCGATAATTAACCATGTATAAAGCACATATTACAGCGAATTGCAATATTATTATTCAATGAATAAATCGTAATACGATCATAATTTCAAAATGTAAGCCAAGTGAAACAAACAATTATGCGATCCAGCAACGTTGTGCAGAAACTTACGAGAGCCTTTGAACACTTTTAGAAACATTTTATGAATATATTATGTACGTTAAGCGAAACAATTTGAAATTTCATAAACATTATAACGACACCTAACGAGTATAATTATATATAGGTAACGTTTGCAACAAATCTGAAAATGTGCATCAGATTAATTTCTACTGGTGCGCGAAAGCTTTTCATTTGTAGTTATCTTCCATAGAAAAATAAAATAACAACCAATCCTCCAAAACGAAACCAGCGGCGAACAGATACGGATAAACAAAATTCACATCTTTCCTCTTCAGCGATCGGTCGAATCCCAATTAATTCGTAACTCATCGTGATCGATATATACGTAATACTTTTCTCTAATTTCTGTTAGCGGAACGGTTTTGTGTAAAGATGGCTAACGAACTAGAGAAACGGGGCAGGGAATCGAAGTTTAAATCCGGCTCGACCGCTCGTTACACACTTGCTTTCCCACGGGACGCGACCGGAAAAGTAACGAGAGCGCGGATTAATCGCGTCCGATCGGCTTCCAATTAAATCGTTTTAATGAATTTCCCGGTTCTCGTGTGTCGTGGCAAAACCTCTAAACTAAACAGACCAGCGCACTGCGGTTCGATGAGTTTTACAGGGCGGAAGATGCACGAGAAACCGTCCGATCCGGATTCGTTTAACAGCGCGTGAAGAAAAATGTTGCGCGAATTTTCGAAGTTCGGATCGAATCGTGTGAATCGCGTTTTCGTATGGTTCGACATGACTTTCTGGGCGATTGGAACCAAATGAGTTGGAAGATGAAGCAAAGAATGAGTTTGTAGAGCAGTATGTCGAATTTATATATTGTAGAGATTATGTGAAATTCTTTAAGTGTGCCTGTAATAAGAATGTTGTTCAGGACGATTATTGAAAATATAATTGATACGTGTGAATAATTTCCTGAAATATGTAAATACGCTCTACGTCTTATAATTATAAAACCATAGCAAATTTTCAACTCTACGAGGATACAGTGCAGCAAAATCTGTGATACTAGAAGTATACAAAGTCGAATAGTCAAATTTGTAAATCGCTATCGTTACTATTTCATTTATATAATATCTTTTTCCAGTGAGTATAATCTATTTTGGGAAGAAAAAGATACATTGTTTCTCATAATCAAGTTTTTAGGTGATTTTGTGGTCATAAGATGCAACGTAGATCGTCCACATATAAAGTCTTAGTCAATTGAAGAATTTCACTGATATGAATGGTTATCAAGTAAATCCAATTCATATTTCAAATCAATTAAATATCACAGATCAATTAACACGTTCGTCGCCACGTCGCACATATTCGTGCGACGGGTATACTTCCGTGGGGGCCCCGTCACCAACGTATGATGACGCTCTTCTTGTTCGAGTTCGTCGCCCAGCGTGTTTCGGCTATGTTTCCTGCGGGACCCAAATCCGACTGTGGCTTCCTCAATATTCGAACTCGATGAAATTCTATTTATAATTTTTTTTCTAAAATTCACTACTTCGTCATCACTACTCTCCTCACTTTCAAATATATTTTCACACTGTTTACTGAACATTCTCGACTAAATCGAAGATCGGAGATATCTGCCGTGAGATCCCTCGGAATACTCTAGCTGGAAAGTTTATCGCTTTCTCCATTTCAGAACTAAATATATTTGTCGGGGATGAAAGGACATCGGGATTTCCCATCTGGAATGTTGGGAAAACCCCCAATACCCTAGTCCAGATTTTTACTATAGCTACACTTAAGTAATAAAAATAAGAAATAGTTTTAATGTTCCAATCTGGCTTTATGACGATGTGTTCGGGCTCGAAGTGCCATAGTGGGTCACTGGACGTAGCCACGGTCGGATTTGGGCCCCGCAGGAAACAGCTGAAACACGCTGGGCGACGAACGTGTTAAATAGATGTACTTCTATAACATTCTAAAAATGTTTCCTTCTTAATTATCCATTTTATCAACATATCTCAGCACCTATCCAACAACTCAAAATCAACAACTTTTCTCGCAAATCATCCTTCATACTTTTCTAATCCATTATCTCTCATAAACAAATCTCGATTACTGCATCACACTGATAACGGTTAACACAATTAGGACATCAATTACTGCATAATACGTTAACGAAACAGATAGAAACACATTCTTACTGCAAAGGTTGTTGATGGCGATTAGTAGGCGGTGGTGTAGCTTGAGTAGTAGAGGTCGCGGGTGCGTTAGCACTGCTGACTCGATGTACATGCAGCTGGTGCATCTGTAATTGGGCCGCATCTTCGCCAAGGAAAGAGCACCTTGAGCATTGCCGTCTGTTGTGCACCTTGAGCACGTGGGTGGCTAGGCGTTCGGCACGCGCCGCTTTATACTCGCAAAGGGTGCATGCAAACGGCTTCAAATGTGTGTTTAGATGCCGTTTCAAACACCAGTTGTCCACACCGCTCCAGGAACAGTAGCAGCAAGTGTACCTAAAATCGATGACTGTGTTAATCGGTTGTTAAGTCAGCCTATTGATTCGAACGAAACAATCTATTCACCTGAGCTCTACAGGAAATTACTCCAGCCATTAATAAGAACAACAAATTTCTTATATTACATAATCAATAAAAATGAACGATTTCTAGTCACAATTTTAAAAGAGTATTCTTCTATCATTGATAAGAATGCGTTATATTATTTAAAACGAATAATCTTTAGTGTCAATTCCAAGAAAAAATATATTGACAAGAAGAATTATCCTATTAAAAGACGAAAAACTTTAGACTGCATTTAAGAAATAAAGTCCTTCAATTATTGGAAAAATCTTCAATTATTTATTTTTCTTGTCCAACTCCTATATGTACTATAAAATCATCAAATTTTCCAAAGAAATCTCACCTTCGTTCCTGAGCACCTTTAGAGCTTCCCTTAAGATGGCTCTTGCTGTTACATCCACCATTCTGTACTCTTCTTCCAGTGGCGCAGTTCGCTGCATCAGGTTGCATAATACCCGGAGCAGGCATCGATGTTCCTTGATAAATTCCCCCCGCGTTAGTAGCTGTATTATTGCCAGTATTCGGCTGCAACTGGTAATTTTTGTTATTATTAAATCCTGACGAGTAATTTGTATGCTGTTGCTGCGGTTGGCCATTCGTATTCACATTTCCGGTATTCGCGGTTCCTGCCTCTTGTTGGAGAGGCTTTGGTGGACTGGATCCAGCTGGTCTGCGTATCCTTGATAACTCGTAACCGTGCTCGCGATGCATCCTTAAGAAATGCTTTTTCACATGATCAGCGCGGTTGAATGGTTTGTAACAGATATAGCAATGGAACGGTTTTTCCTCCCGGTGGATATTTTCGTGTCGTGTGTACAGATCGCGGCGATCCGTTCCATAAGGACAATATGGACAGCTATACCGCTTCACGCTCGATGTCACTGTCACTGAAGACATCGTGGTGGTGTTCTGTGGAATTAATAAATTTGAACACTACTTGTTAATTAACTGAGTTACTATCGAATCGAGAGAAGATTTCATCTTATCGTCAAGACAATGGATTTTAGATATGTAATTTTTGCAGTCGCTAGAATTAAGCAGACACTTCTTTAAAAAATTAATATTATTTGCTGAAACTTTCGAAAACTTAATTACTGACACGCAACTGTAAACAGAATCACTGTAGTGGTACCGGCAGTTTTTCATGAATATCTCGGAAACTAAGTGAGTCCACCCCTCGCGTGTATAGAGAAAAGTTGTCAGAATATAGTCATTTATGCATAATATACAATACATTTTGATACATGTCAACCTTTTATATCTCATCCCGGAATATAGAATATTATCGGAGTAAATATAATTTAGAATTCTATAGGATTGTATAGACTGTAAGATATTTAACACTAAACCTACCGACACTTCGTGTATACCTATCCTTACCGTGTGCGGTCAAAATGATCGGTGATTAAAGAAGTAATAGTTTTTATGATTTAACTTAGATAATGGTTAATTTATCACTAAATGTATATAAAATGATGAACTTTCATCAAATTTCGTTCAAATTTACTTTTGTTTAATTTCAATTATAGACTTAAATGGAATTATACTTTTATTTATATAGAGATATATCTTATTCAACTTCGCTGCATTTTTTACAAATTATCTTATTATCAAATGTACATTTGCCGCATAAATATTTCCCGCATCTTAAACAAATTTGACCTTAAGGTAGCCTTTTCTTTGTACTGATTGCATTTATTTTAAGAATAACTAAAATATTTTGTCGAACAGTCAAAATGGCCGCTCATGGTAGGCAAGGCAGAGTACAAATTTTTCTCAGAAAATAAAAGAGCAAACTAAAAGTAAATACCGAAAAATATATATTATATGCATGTGTATGTTTTAGGAAAAGTAAAAAATTATGAAGCGATATGATAAAGTTTAAATATGGTTTAGTTTGTGTAGAAATTCGAGAGCGGTCAATTTGACCGCCACTGGTATGTTTAATGTTAATTATGTTACAGAAAAATTTTACGTGATAGAAATAAACTATGCTCACTCATTTGACTTCAAGGATTTGAGAATAACCATGAACAGAGACATACCTGATGCAAATGTTGTGGTGCAGGAGCTGATGGTAATTCTTGTAACAGAAAGGTAGAGGTGACAGGTAAGAGTGCTGCAGGCACTGTTTGCGTTTCCTGAGTTCTCCTGGATGGTGGTGCCACACGTTCTACTCGTTCACGCAGCCTTTCCAGGTAGGAAATCACATCCTCCACTTTTAATTCTTCGGACTGTCGATAATCTTGTGAGGGCGAATGATGTCTGTTTCTGCTATCGTCTCCAAGAATCCTTGACGAGTGAAGTTCCATGAAATGTTCAGCTACATCCCGTGGTCCACCTCCCATCAAATCACCTGGAGGGAGAAATAACGTCATTCGTAAATTTATCCGTTAGTCCAGAATATCGGCCTAGCCAATGAATGACTTGATCTGGTAAAAGTAACTCCAGAAACATTTTGTTTCTTTAATTTATGGTAATAAACTTCTGTAAAATATATCTATGCCTTTATTACTTCAATTTGCACAGAAGATACGATAGCATACACCCTTTGATAGTATCGCGAAACTTCGTCAAACACCGCCAAACATCGTCAAACACCGTCAAACACCGTCAAACACCATCAAACACCGTCAAACACCAATCAAATGTTTTCAAATATCGTCAAACGTTGTAAAACGTCTTCAAACGTTGTAAGCGTTTTCAAGCGTCGTCAAATTGTTAAACGGCGTCGAAGGAGACGATCACTCACGAACTCAAACTCCGTAATGAACGGACGTTGAACCACCCGAAAAGCCATAAGCCCAAGAAAATGGGCAAAAGACGGTAAGACGGGGGGGGGAGAGGGTCAGTACTATTCACGAGAAACTTCCATTTGCAAGGGACAGTCACGAAATCCGTAACTCAGGTATTACTAGGGAAACATAGTACGTCATATAGTGTTCGTATTAGAGAAGGAACCAAATATCCCCATAAACAGCGAATTGCGTTCACGCATTGTTTATACAGGGTGGTTGGTAACTGATGGTACAAGCGGAAAGTACAAGCGGTGGTACAATAAACATTTTTCGTTTGAGGCTTTGTTTTCGAGAAAATCAACTTTGAATGTTCGCTCAGTACGCGTGCACTTTATCACGTCTCATTATAACGGATCTCACTATAGATCGTTGTCTCGATGGAAAAATTAAAAAGAAATTTTTTGTTCTATATTTTCGACTTCTTTTTTAGCGTAGAATCACCCCCCTTTCCTCTTGTACCACTAGTTACCAACCACCCTGTATATTGAACTCTGTGTCGATTTGTGTATCTAGCCGTGCCGTCGTGCTCGGTGACCTATTATATCACCACATAGCGTTACATGTTTTTATATAGCTCATGTTGTCCTCGATAACCGACGTCATTCTAATAATTAGACAAATAAAGAAATGAATTGTATTGATGACTATAAATTCTTACGAATTCTATAATGTTCATAATATTTATGAGTCCCTAACTCTATTAATAACTAATATGTATGGGGAGGAATATCTAAAATCTATAAATCAAATTTATCAAATAACCTATATCCCCTCTAGCATTTTTAAAAAAATTTTATTTTATGTTTTATATCTAAGATAAGACAGTTTAAACAGAAGTGGTGCAATTTTTTAAAATTTTACTAGATGTATTATACGAACCGCATTCGTAGCACCTCCATGTCGCTTTTCCAGCGTGATAAGCAGCAATACGACTTCCATCGGTGCCTTTCAAAGGCTCCTCTTCGCAGGTCCAGTTTCCATCATCGCTATCGGTTCCGTTTCCGGTATCCTCTTCGGTCTTGTACGATACAGAAGTTTCGAACTCGTTCTGAACGCTTGAGGCTATGATAAACGAAGATAATAAGCTACATTCTCTTTTGCTATTTTATTTTACAGAATACCAAAGCATCTTTTGTTTTCTGCGGGAGCATCATTACGTTTTATGGATTTAAATATTAAAATATAAAATAACGATCTCGATGCACCGAAGCAAAAAAGCCTGCTACGTTTGAAGTATTTATGGTACCCCGCTGGGGGTAGCCACCCACATGATAATCAAACAGCCAAAACAATTCTACCAAATGTCCAAATTGGACAAATTGTGAATGTAAACAACTAAAAAAAAAAAAAAACGTTTGAAGTATACCGTAATCCTCTAGAAATATTTATCTTGCTTCAATTAATATTGCAATACTTGCAATTACTCCTTACTTTCATTAACTTTTACTGCGATAGTATATGCAAACCGTTAAACTTGAATTTTAAAGGCACGCTTTAATATTTATACTCAATTTGAAAATTATTACCTCTTCTTTAAAATATGATACACGCCTCATTAATAAAAATATCGATTCCTTTACCGTAGTGATACATGTTAATCTAAACCCTTAATATAAACCTTTAAGCTTGAGAGAGTTTTCAAAGAGCATACTGTATAGTATTTCTAGTTTATTTGAAGACTTCTTTTTCTGTTTAAAATGCAATACAGAGTTCAAAAAAAGATACTTAAAATTTTCTACCGCAGTAACACGTACACAAGTTATTAAATCTACATTTTAAAGAACACATAAATATCTTTAAATTCACTTACTTCTATGATCAGGATCTTCACCGTACAATTTTCTGGTTATTTCCTTAAACATATCTTCGTAGCAGTCGAGCCTGCTAATTCCTGCACCGCTACCCTCCATCTTCCCAGTCCCCGCCGGTCACCCCCTATCCTTGGAACAATAAACCTTCGCCTACCTGCGAACCGAAAGATGCCCGTAAGCCGGGTTGTAACTAATAATTCCTCTTCCAAATGTATTTTCCTCCCGAATTTTAAAAGGTTGGGTTCCTCCCTTTTCATACTTGGACACTTACAGACCCACCTTCACCCATCGTTATTGCTTTCGTGCTTTCTCTCCTGCCTTTCCTTTTTCGGTACTCGTTTAAAGATATGTCTTTTTTTAGAATCGCTCGCACAGTGAAGTATCGACGAAGGGAGCTAATTGATTCATTGAAGCTTAATAAAATCTTGCCAAAGCGTTGCCCCTAATCGTCCACAAGATTTAATCTTTCCGCTGGCCGGCTTGAATGGCACATTTATATAGAGAACGGGAATTTGTCGGTACTAAGTGCGATTCAAAGAAAGCGGAGGAGATTGGTGATAATTTGCCGAATATTCTAGCGCGAGAATAACGAATATAGTTTTTTGAGATACTGTTCTGGATTTTGAACATCTGTAGGAATTATATTATCAAAAAAGAAAGAAAAGAAGAAAAGGAGAAAAAGAACTGAAAACTAAAGTTTGAATAGAGTTAATTTTTCTTGATGCTAAGTGGAGTCATATTATTGACTGTCTCTGTTTTATGAGGGGGGCCGAGAATGGTAAATGAAATGTCGTTTTCGCCGAGCGTTCAATTCTTCGGAAATTCTTAACGTCGAAACAGTTTGTAGAAGGAAAAATATATAACGCTAGAATTTGACGGTCGGATATTACGTTTCTACGTACAAACATACTCGGTCACTGCCTCTGAACTCTTCGACAAATTGGAAACGTGAGAATAAAAAGCTGCATTTCCTATTAAGTACGAAAATTACTTTTTGTTTAACGAACCATTTATTTGATAGTAATTTAAATCACAAATTGAAGAAACTTTGAATAAAAATCTCAACGATGATAAACAAATATTAATACTATAATTTCATACTGTGTAACAGAATTTAGTTTTGTATACTGTAATCATTCTATATCATCGCCGTTAATGACCACAATTGTGAAGGTTGCAAAAAACAATTGCTGTGCGAATCTAGAGGACGATTTTGTTTTTAGAAGACGTGATCGCTTCCGCGTCATCGACTTTTCCCCTATCTTCTTATCTTGTATATATTCAGCTGCAACGCTGCCGACTAAAACATCTTATTCCCTAAAGCCGCCTTCTATCTTCGTGTACTTGAAAAATCGATTCACCCCGGTCAGAAAACGTTAAGAACAACTCGGGGTTCTCGGTGAAGCCGACCTGACGGGCGCTTAAGCCACGTACATACCTACGAAAATGCTTTGTAATGCAATCTCATCGGTTAACGTAATTGAGAACGATACAATGTTATACGTAATGATCAATGTCTCATTCTACTGCGCTTTGATTTCTTATAACAAGTTTTTAGTTATGTACCTCCTGCTCTGTGGACGAAGAAAGAGTCACTGACAAGGAATCATTAGACTAAACCGCGTTCGCGCTTGATAAAAGTTTCATGTTGATTTGTATTTAAGATATTTGAATTTAAGATACACTATATTGACCATAGAAAGATAATAAAAAATAAATAAAAAGATATTGTTCAAAATTATACTTTCTATTCTATTCTATTTTATTTTCTCCGTATCTCTTTCTTGCTCCAGGAAGCAAAGAGTTTCGAATATTTAACTTAAAGAAAGGTTGTATGATATAGTAGTGATATTCATAAGTTTCACAGAAATCTTCCAGACTTTTGAAATCTTAGAACAGTAACAAATATTAGGAAAAATTCCAGAAAAATTCTACGATACTTATTAATGTCTCTATTATATTATACAAATCTTCTCTTAACTGAAATATTTGAAACTTTCCCAAGAGAAATACAAATCCAAAAGAAATAAATTAAAAAGTGAAATGTTCCTTTAAATTCGCGTATTACTCTCAGAGTATTAAAACTAAACATATAATTTTGCAACACGTTGTACAAAAATTAATAAGATTCTATCGTCTATCTTAGACATTTTTAATCACTTTGCCAACGTGTACTAGGCTTAAGGCAATCGCAGCGTTCGATCGTCAAGCGCAAACGAGGCAATGGCAACGTAATAGCAATTCCAAGCTGAAAGAGATTCTGGCCGCGTACGAACGTAAATACAGGGCTAATGTGTGCTAGGAAATCGCGGCTGGTGTTCCATCACGATGACAGGAACCGGTGGTGACGCGAAACTCTGTATCGGAAGCGCTAACGACTTCTCTCCCTGGAGGTAGACGCCACGATGGAATTAGAATCGAGTCTGTTATGGCCCGTTTAGAAGCACTGATCGTCGTTACGGATCTTCAATTAAGGGCACTTTGAAATCAAGCATGCAGAATAATTATTTTATTTGCACTATACAAGCGTTTTGAAAACTGATGACTAGGCTGCAGAATATTTATGGATTTATGGGAAATTTGTAAATACAAATGCGTATAGAATGCGCATATTACACAGAAATATATGTTGTGAAATACTGAAAGTGCAATATCTAATAGACAAAATATTTTTCTGTCCAAGTTCGATCTTGTAAGTAATTTAAGTAAGGAAATACGAATTTCCATAAATATCGTAGTCTAGTGAAGAGACTGTGGGGAATGAATTTTACGATTCAACAATTTTCAAACGAATAGAATCTTCGTTTTTCACTTTCAAAGGATAATTTACCACGAAAAATGCGATCTTCCACGTGAAAGAATCTTTCACGTGTTTGCGCAACTTCCAGGCGTTTTGAAACTAAACATTCTGACGTAATATTCCAGTAAACTTTTTAATCGCATATCTGTATTTAAAGAGCGGCGGATACTTAAGAGGCGCGTGAGAGAATATTGTTTGTCAAATTCCGAAAGATAATTTACGAGGAAAAATGGAATTCTTCACGTGATAGAATTTTTAATGTTCTCACCAATCGTTGAATGGTTCTACGAAGATAAATGAAAAATTCTGAGGAAAGGCCACGAAGTTAAATACTCTGGTAAATTGTTTAATGCCTGTTCTCTTCATTTTCCGAATGTTTTCAGAAGGTAAGAAACCCTCGAGAGTTGGAGCATGTTGGAAAAGCACTCGGCAGGTCGTGATGTCCTTTGAAAGCGAACCACAATGAATAAAAAAGGATCGAGGAGCAATTGCGAATGTGCTTCGAGGATCTCGAGAAACTAGATCGAAGTTAAGACCACTTTACAATTTGCTGAAGCGTGAGCAGTCTTAACTCTTCTTCCCGGTGTATCTCGAGGGGATGAAAGGAGAATGAAAAATCCGCCTTCGTGTTATCGGCTGCTAAATATTCATGAACCGGGAAATCTTTCGCCTTTGAACCGAGTTACAATTTAGAAGGCTGACTAAAAAGAGTTATCGATTTTCACTTAGAAGTGGAACAAGAGTGAAACCTGCCGTCTCGAACTCATTCACGCGACATCAAGGAACAACACTTCCTTTTCGCCCCATTAACGAGCGCGTTTCCCATTCGTATCTTTCTTCTTTGAAAAACAGCTGATCAAAGGATAAGAATTCCTTCGAAATAAATGAAAAATATGGAAAGAAAAAAGACAAATTAAATTTTAAATCGGAGGCATTCGAAATAAATGTAAAATAAAAAGAGAGAGAAGAAAGATGGAAATTAAATTGAATTATAAAAATAAAAGATGAAAAAGGAAATGAAAATGAAATTTTTAAGAATCCTTTGCCCTGTTTAATGAAATTGCAAACCTTCTAAATTTACATTGAATTTGTAGATATGAACTATTATAAATCTAAGATTTGGAAAAATTGCATTAATAAATCGTAAAAATCGAAACAAGAAGAATCAAGTGGACAACAATAATTTATTGGACATAAAAACTATTAGCTTGGCTATTCTCGAAAACGTGAAACAAAAGAGCAGAATGTAATAAACACGGCCGATGCCAATTCCATTTACTACCCTTCAAACACAAGGGAAGGTCTGATCGTCGCAAGGGATCCTTGAAACTAATCGAGCATAAAGACGAGCAGTTCTTCATCGAGTCCTATTGTGAATAATGAAATCCACAACGTCACGAACAGCTCCTCCAATCTTATAGAACACATTGAAAACGCTTTTGAACGATATAATCACGCTGAGATTCCCATAGCACGTTAATTATTCTAAGTAGGAATCTTCGTAGAAGTCCTATGCCACTCTAACTGGCACGGAGAAGGAAAAACTCATCAGCCACGTGGTTTACCGAAAGCAAAACTGTTCTAACAGAGGTATTCAGACATTCAACAGACCTCTTTTCTCCCCAATGCAAACAGCTAAACGGCTAACACCTACTGTTCCCAAGTTTTCGATTTTCCAGTGTCTATTTAAGTGCATACATTAAACGTAGAATTAGTCGAAACTGAATCTGTAATTCAGGTTGAAACCATTTTACGTTTATTAAGAATTAAAAATTTCCTTAACTTTAAGCAAATTTCAACATCGAATCTCAACATCGATATTTCTCATAATACGTTAAATTTAACGATTCTAAAATTAACATTAAACACGTATGTAAAATTGAATTACACATCAAAGATTGAGACTATCTGGTCTTCGATTATTAAAAATCATTTTAATGCTTCAAAATATGATCTTACTTATCACAAAATAATGAACCTTCGAACAATAAATAAAGATTGTATTATCAGTTGGGATCGAAACTACCCTTTGAGTATAAAAAGTTATTCCATTGCTCTTTAAAACTATACTATAAAAATTATACTATACCGTAATCACAATTAACCTAACAATTCCTAAAGATAAACTCCGTCATTAACGGAAGAACGATCTCCAATTAATAGCCCCACCCCATAATCATCCAGAGCGCGAATAAATTACCCATTGCCGAGATCCTAGCGCTTGGAAGCAACGCATTCCAGAAGCAACAAAATCAATCCGTGAGCAACGCGTAACGCGGCTCGTTAACCGGCCAATCGACTCTGGAGGGAGTGAGTGCCCTGTCAATCGAACTGGATCCTACCCTGTTAGAGCATAGATCGATCGATTTCGATCTCCGCGACGACGTAACTCGCTTTTAGGGGATGCAGCGTCCGGAAAGAGGAAGAAGGAGCCTGGTCGCGTATTGATCGAGCCACGGTTGCTGCCGCGTGAAAACTAGGGGGAGAAACAGAGAGGAAGAGATGAGCAGAACAGAGAAAGACAGGGTGCCTCTGGAAACCCCAAGCGACGGTACCATACATACTCACACACAGATCATACAGTACACATACACACATACGTATACATACGTACGAAATATGTACACATGCATGCTACTCATATATTATGTACACGTGTATAAGAACGCATACTATTCAGTGTATCTCGGTATACGTATTATAAAGGGGTGGTGGCGAGAACGATCGCGCTGTGTGGAAGGGGTTAGACCGGCGACGAATAAATCAATATTCCCCTCCGGAACGATCGAGGACATGTCCCGAAGGCGACAGATGGCGAGGGTGCCTTGATTCGTGTTCTGCGCCGGTTGAGCACCACTGTCTCCGAAGAAAACCTAAGCTTGGTGGGGAGATGCGGGTGGGTAGAGCATAGGGAGCTGTCGTATATACAACGAGGAACGTTCGAGGGAACGAAGAGCGGAAGAAACGAAAGAAGAGAAAAAGGTTCAGAGGGAGAGAAACGGCATTGGGGAGTGCTGCGATGGAATAAGACAGAGATATGCAAGAGTGGGGAGATTGTCGAATGGTGGGAGTGAAAAGTAGTGGGGGTAGAGAAGGCGCGCGCAGTGTGCCATTCAAATTCATCCGGAAATTATTACCGACTAACCAAGGACGGCGAGCGGGTCTTGGCGTCGGCGCGCGCGCGTGCAACTCCTCCATGCGTACAGGCATACATACGGCGACACACAGGCATTTATAAATATATAGCGGTGTCTGTATAGCACTGTGGAAGATACAGTAGCCGCGCAGGGACACATAGCAACGAAGCGTAGGTGATTTCCCATTACGATCGAAGAAATTCTACTGGTTCGGTTCTGGTCGCCGTGAGAACGTTTCTCGGTGGCCATTGCGTTTCTTCCGCCTCTGGTAGGCCGATCGAAGGCGCGCACACACGTCGAGCGAGCACGCGAGTAATCGTCGCGATCCGGCGAGCGATACACGCACACGCGACGCATATCGTCTCGCTGTTCTCTTCTCGAGTTCACTCGTACGCGTACCGCGCACCATGATACTAGCGTTAACCACTCGCACGCGAGCCGGCGTTTTCTTCTTTAGAGCGCGTTTTTTCTTAAAGTTGGATCGTGTTAGAATACACCACACACTCGGATAAAGTGTTCGAGCTACCTACACGAGGACAGCGTCGCTATCTTCTCGGCGGCCACGCGTGTAACGTCGTTCCGCGATGCCCACGGTACATGCTTCCTCTCTCGACGCCTGTTCCGCGTCACACTCTTCAAGTCACTCTGTCACTCTCGCTCTCCGATCGATCGCGGCTGGTTCGTACGTTGGTCCGTCCACTCGTTTGATTCGATTCCTCGTAGCACGAGCACAGTACGCACGTTACATACTGATAGAATCGAGGGTCACGCCGTATACAGTTCAACTCGAGGAAAGTTCTAACTGACACGATGAAAAATCATGAAGAATCGAAGTCCAGGAGTTGTCGATCTCGGTGAGAGTGAAACGAGCGGTAGAAAGAAGGACGGAACGAAAGAAGGAGAGAAAGACGCGGAATGGGGGGGCCTAGAGAGTGTAAGGGAAAAATTGAAGCGC